GTCGTTAAACCCGCGACCACCCGACACAGTGAGCAATTCCAGAGGATTTTTTGTTCGCAAAAGTAGAGTGGGAATATTTAACGATGGGCGAAATTAATGAGTCACCCTTAATGAGGTTTTATTAAATTCATTTTCGGAAGGGGCCTTGATTGGAGTTACAATCCGATTTGAGACACATACGGACATAATAGAGGTGTTTTGGGTTCGATGGCGTTAATATAAATGTGTCGTTAAACCCGCTACGACCCGACACAGCCAATTAGTCAGGTTTGTCACGTAAATAGAACGTGCCAATTCGTTGCTAGTACAGCACACCGGTGTGTTGGAGAGCAAAGCCACAATGACGTTTCGCCAGTAATTACAACTAGCTTCATCAGGCGACAGACAGATCACAAATATGTCTGTCGCCTGATGAAGCTAGTTGCAATTACCAGTAATTACAACTAGCTTCATCAGGCGACAGACAGATCACAAATATGTCTGTCGCCTGATGAAGCTAGTTGCAATTATTGGCTAAATGTTGCACTCAGATTGCAAATGGATTTGCTCTCCAACACACCGGTGTGCTGTACTAGTAACGAATTGCCATGTTCTGTTAAGGTGACAAACCTTACTAATTGGCTGTGTCAGATGGTGGCGGGTTTAACGACGCATTTCTATTTACGCGATCTAACCCAATAAAACCCCTGTATTATGGATGATATTGGTCGCGAAGCCTGCGTGTTAAACTGACATGCGGACAGTTTCAACTGCCACGGTGGTGAGATGTTAACTATCTCGCCTGGTGTACATGAGGTCGTGGGTTTGACCCAGACCCTGGCGCCTGTATAATTGGAGTGTGCACGTTCTCCCCATGCTCGTGTGGATTTTTCTCAGCGTCCTCTAGTTTTTCCCTCCACATTTAGAAAATGCGTTTAAGATTATTTGGCTGTTTTACATTTCCACATTATAAGCAACTTCGCTGGGCTATCGTTTGTGGCCAGGTCGCTTCTGAAAAAGAGCTGTACAGCTCAGCAGGGCTTACCTGGTAAAATAAAAAAAAAATAGTTTCATAGTTTAATTTTAGTTATTTGGCAAAGCGGCTTAAACAGACGGCCTCGGCGATTCGCTCGTCGGCAATGGAGACGGTGAGACGCACACGTAAATCCACTGCTGGATGAGCACCTCGTGGCCCTGTGGGTTGTCGGTGTCGTTTGACCATACTTCACCATGCTGGTCAGTGAGGTCCGTGAATGCGGGAAGCGTAGACGTAGCCGCATCGTACGGGAACCCCCCGATTCACGTCTCCCCCTATTACGTCGTTCCGCATATACGTCATCGCTTTACTGGCACCGCTGCCCCGATTGGCGTCCCCTCCAGCCCGCACTCACGTCGCTGACAAGCATCACCGTCCCTCCTTTCTCGCTGTCGGTCGCCTCTCTCAGCCTTTGGCTTCCAATATCACCTGCTACTGACTACCCAGTAAATCGCTTCCACTGACGTCGTTTCGATATTCGCCGTCGCATCATTTGAGGAACGCATCCGCGACTTAAGCCGCCCTCTCGTGGCCACCACGCCGCGCAGCAGTCACTCACGATGACCTATCTCAGGGGTCGGCAACCAAAATAACAAGAAGAGCCATTTCTTTCCAATTCGGTACAAAATTCAGTATTTCAAGAGCCGCAAAGCATCTGAGTACATACTGTACATACGTACATATCGTCAAGAAGCAGCCCGTAAAGAGCCGCATGCGGCTCCGGAGCCGCAGGTTGCCGACTCCTGACCTATCTGGTGGTCGCCCATCATACCCCAATTTTCCAGGCTGAACCTCTGCGTAGCTACCGAGATCTGAGGAGGTGGGGTACATTCCGGGTGATTTGACCGTAGCATTAGCATTTCGTTACGGTTGATGTTTTGTCTTAAAAAATAAATGCTCTTTAGTTAATGTTTCCGTTTCGTTTAAAACGTGTTATTTGCTGCAATGCAATTTCGAGTTTGGCCAGACATCAAAGACAAAGATCTCCGTATAGCCTTAACAGACTGTGGGGGCAAGTGCTGTTAGTGAGCACCTATGAGAGCAGGAACGGTACACGAGGGGTTGGGTGACCAGCACCACACCCAGCCGCCTTTGTCTCGCCAGTGGCGATGGTAACACATCGCACCAGGTACTCATTTGAGGCTCAATCGACCTAGGGAGAGGCCCAGGACCGATTCAGATAATCGTCACTGGTGTTGGCCAGTGAGCGGGAATCGAACTCGGGTCGCCGGTTTCAAAGGCGGTCACTGCATCGTGTGGCGCTTTCAGATGCGCTTCTGCAGCCGTCTAGAAACGCTTTTCCTTCCGATATTAGGAAGCTACCGGAGCTATACACTTTTAAATCACAAAGATTCACAGACGCGTTTCTTTAGAACCGCTTTTTGCGTCTAGTTTGGTGTCCTTCCCCCGCACCACCGATTAGCACGGTTGGCTACGAACGGTGCGAAAGAAGTTCAACATACATAAATATATAGTGATTGGTCAAATATTGTCGTGTTGGACTGCGGAATGATCTGGCCAGGCTGTCGCCGTGAGCCCTTTCACTGCCCCGACACGTGGCGTGCCGTCAAGCGGACTGCTTCAAAGACAAATGTCACGATTTGTTTGATCTACAACAAAGTGCGCAGTGAGGAATACGTGCAGCGAGAAAGAGAGCAGTTCAACATACATACATAAGCACACACATTACATGCAGTGGTAGGTGGGAGGAGAGTGGCGCCTCTGATAATCACATCTGTCATACTCTCATCAGCGCCCTACATTATCTTAATTTGGAGCTTTCGTGACTGCAGGAATTACTCTTTGGTTATTTCGGTAAAGTCACGTATAAAGATAAAATAATAAATTAAATAATAGCATACTTCATTATCACAGACCAATTCAGACCTTATTGGCCACCCCGTGCCCTTGATAAATCTCAACGTTCATCCTACAAAGTCTCATCGCAAGGGACAAACACAGACAAACAGACACAACACATTTGCCCGCATCGAGACGGCCGTACGCCGTATGGACGTGAACACTCGATCTCCCCGTACAAGAAGACAACGGGCTTGAACCGCGTGGCTTGGCAGCGATGGATGATGGAGGTACCAGGGCGCATCTGGGACCTGCACGTCCATAACGTGGCGCATCTCACGTAGCGAGACGTCGCCGCCATCGTGCAGAGTAACAGCGGCGAAGCGGCAGTCGCGGGCAAAACATTCGCTGCTCTCTGCGGAGAGGGAGTGAGGGGGGCATGAGGTGGTCGGTGGTGCTCGTTGATTTAAAACGCGTGGGGCAGCGCGAGGCCAACACACACCAGCGATACGACATCGATCTCCGCAATGCTTCTGCCCTGGCAATGTCGCCATCCAATAACCGTGCGCCCAGTATTTACAAGGATTATGATTCGGTATATTTGGTATTAGACATCTCCCCCCCCCAAATGTTTAGAATTACGTGTTGAGCCTGCCCTAACGTGTGCCCTCTAATCCACGCGTTCCTCTATTTCCGTCTCTCCAAGCCTCTCTGGGCACTTGTCACTTCTTTGTTCGGTGCCTTCGCTGTGTCTGAACCGCGCGTCGCCACAGCAGGTAGCGACGTGCCGATTCATGCACTCACTACCCACTCGTTTTGAGGCTGAGTCGACTTACGGGAGGCCAGGGCCGGTTCAGATAATCGTCACTGGTATCGGCCGTAAGAGGGAATCGAACTCGGGTCGCCAGGTTCGTAGCACAGTCGGGCTAACCGCTAAACCACCGCCACCACCACAATCACAATCACCACAATCACCGCCACCGCCACCACCGCCACACTCGTGGTCTCCTCGGCAACCCGCATTCTTCAAGCCCTCCAGAGCAGCGGCCACATTTAGGAGGAGGAGTAAATAAATAAACGGCCGCATAAATAAATATATAATCGAGCCGACAGTGGCCAAAACACACAGACACAGAACCACCAGCACCACCACCAGCCCCGCACACCACCAGCACCACCAGCAGCTGCACCAGCACCACCACCACCAGCACCACCACCACTACCAGCAGCACCACCACCACTACCACCAGCACCACCAGCAACTGCACCAGCACCACCACTACCAGCTGCACCACCACCACCACCACCAGCAGCAGCACCACCACCACCACCAGCCCCACCAGCAGCAGCACCACCACCACCACCAGCCCCACCAGCAGCAGCAGCACCACCACCACCAGCACCACCAGCAGCAGCACCACCACCACCACCACCAGCCCCACCAGCAGCAGCAGCACCACCACCAGCAGCTGCACCAGCACCACCACTACCAGCACCACCACCACCAGCACCACCACCAGCAGCAGCTGCTGCACCACCACGAGCACCACCAGCAGCAGCACCACCACCACCAGCAGCAGCACCACCACCACCACCACCAGCCCCACCAGCAGCAGCAGCACCACCACCACCACCAGCCCCACCAGCAGCAGCAGCACCACCACCAGCAGCTGCACCAGCACCACCACTACCAGCACCACCACCACCAGCACCACCACCAGCAGCAGCTGCACCACCACGAGCACCACCAGCATCACCACCAGCAGCTGCACCAGCAGCTGTACCAGCACCACCAGCACTACCACCACCACCACCACGAGCACCACCACCAGCACCACCACCACCAGCATCACCACCAGCAGCACCACCAGCACCACCACCAGCACCACCACCAGCTCCACCACCAGCACCACCACTACCAGCTGCACCACCACCACCAGCAGCACCACCACCAGCACCACCACCAGCACCACCACCACCAGCTCCACCACCAGCACCACCACTACCAGCTGCACCACCACCACCAGCACCACCACCACCACCAGCAGCACCATTACCAGCTGCCACACCACCACCAGCACCACCGCCACCAGCACCACCACCACTACCAGCATCACCACCAGCAGCTGCACCAGCTGCTGCACCAGCACCACCACCAGCACCACCAGCAGCACCACCAGCAACACCTCCAGCACCACCAGCACCACCACCAGCAGCACCACCAGCACCACCACCAGCAGTAGCGCTCTGCGCGAGCCGTCATCTCGAGCTGCGACTTGAGTTGAGCCACTCGATCCACGTCGGCAGATGATTGCCGAGCACAACATCGAACGTCCGGCCAACGCGGGGCAACAACACTCGTGAAAGCGCGACCCTGGCGGAGGGAGGCCAAGTCTCCGGCACCTCCAGCCACCCAGGGAGATGATGTCCTCTTTCACAAGATAAAGGCAACAGCAGAATAAACCTGCGCCGCTCCCATGAATGGACACACGTTTGAGCAGCAGCGGCAGCGGCGGCAGCGGGCGTCGTGCCCACGGCAACGCTCACGCTCAAGTGGCCACTACGGCCGAGTCCACGCTGCTGGGACATGCAGCCGTGGAGGAGGAGCAGGCAGGAGGAGGGGGGGGGACACACACGCTCACAGGAGAGGGCTTAGCGCTGGTACATCGTGAGCAGCGGCGGTAGCAGGAAGAGGCCGGTCCGCCAAACACGACAGCAACACGAGCGAGACAGGGCGACACGCACACGGGACCCAACGCACAGCCCGCTCGGCTCCTGCTGCTGCTGTTCTACTGCTACTACTGTTGACTGCTACTACTGCTGCTGTTGACTGCTACTACTGCTGCCGGGCCAGGTGGAATTCGCTAAGGGACCCAATCTTTGGTTTTCGTTTGCGCAAAAAAGACGCGCAAACGACGATTGAGCGTCAACAAACAACCGCGGGGTGCACGCCGCTGCCGGGTGCGCGAAGACGCGCGTCGTAGTGCGCGGGGTGTCGCCAGGGGTAGGGCGGTTGCCAATCCGCTAGGACCCTGTAGCTTGTTTGTTTTAATTTCTCTTTTAAAAGAGCGAGAATTCGAACAATTGACGTCGAGACGTCGAGAAGGGCAGCGGCGGGTGTGAAACTCGAGATGTCCTCCAGTGCCGGGAAGACTCCGTTCGTGGCGACGCAGTCTCCGCCCGCGAAGAGCATCGTCGTGTACCGCAACGGAGACGCCTTCTTCCCGGGCAGGAGGCTCGTGGTGAACCCGCGCCACGTGGGCAACTTTGACGTCTTCCTGGGCACGGTCACGGACGGGCTGCGCTCCACGTTCGCCGTGCGGAACATCTACACGCCGGCGGGGGGCTCGCGCGTGCCCGACCTGCACAGCCTGCTGCAGCACGGCGGGCGAGAGTTCGTGGCGGCGGGCAGCGAGAGGTTCAAGAAGCTCCAGTGGGTAACGCGAACACACACACCAACACACACACTAACACACCAACACACACTAACACCAACACACACACACCAACACATACACACACCAACACATACACCAACACACACACACACCAACACACACACCATGACACACACTAACACATACACACACCAACATATACACACTAACACACACACACCAACACACACACACACCAACACACACACACACCAACACATACACCAACACACACACACAAACCAACACACATACACGCCAATACACACACCAACACACACACACACCAACACACACACACCAACACCAACACACACCAACACACACACCTCAATACACACACCAACACACACACACCAACACACACACCAATACACACACACACACCAACACACACACACCAACACACACACCAACACGCCAACACACACCAACACACACACACACACACCAACACACACACACCAATACACACACCAACACACACACACCAACACACACACACCAATACACACACACCAACACACACACACACACCAACACACACACACCAACACACACACGCACCAATACACACACACCAACACACACACACACCAACACACACACACCAACACACACACACACACCAACACACACACGCACCAATACACACACACGAACCAATACACACACACCAACACACACACCAACACGCCAACACACACCAACACACACACCAACACACACACCAACACACACACCAACACACACCAACACACACACACACCAACAAACACACCAACACACATACCAACACACACCAACACACACACTAACACACACACACAAAAATACAAAGATCCCCCGTATAGCCTTAACAGACTGCAGGGGCAAGTGCTGTTAGCGAGCACCTATGAAGGCCGGAACGGTAGACGAGGGGGTGGGTTGCCAGCACCACGCCCGACCGCCTTTTTCTCCCCAGTGGCGATGTTTACACACCGCACCAGCTACTCATTTGAGGCTGAGTCGACCTAGGGGAGGCCCAGATAATCGTCACTGGTGTTGACCGTGAGCGGGAATCGAACTCGGGTCGCCGGGTTCGCAACGCAGCCGCTATTTAAAAAGTAAATGAATAGGAAAATAAGAAACAAATGTTACTGGTCAATTAATTAGGGGGTCACGAGGCATCTGGACGACTCTGTAGATCCCCATGAATTGATATTCTTGTGCAATTTGTACTTCATTACTTGATTCATATTTAGGGATTATATATGTAGCGGCTTCTTTACCTCGTATCTGTCTCGCTCTTCTTACATCCCCCACCCCTCCGCACCTTCGATTACCGCAGTTGGCTACGTAGGGTGCAAAATTAAGTTCAACGTACATACATATCTTGGCTTAAAGCCTTCGTGACTTTCGGTAAAGAATGTAAGTAAAGTATGTAAAGACTACATACACATATCGTTGCATTTGTATTGTTTGTTGATGTAACTCGCTTGGGCCCTCTGTGCCACTGCCGGACATCTGTGAAACAGAACTTCGTAGCTTCATCGGATTGCTCCCACACGACAGATACAGATTCTGAGTCTGACATCGCCCAACGGGGTTGTGTATTCCGGAGCTCAGCCCCGGACAGCTCCGGCTGCTCCGATCGTGTCACGCACGTGTTTAGCTAGAGCGCAGGTTGTCGCGAATTGCCCGATGATGCTGGATGTAATTACCAGCGAAACGTCGTACTCAAAAACTGTATCTGTTGTGGATTCACTCTTCAGCACACCGGTGGGCTAAAGTAGTGAACTATTTGTCTTTTGTCAACGTGACACATTTTTTACTATATTCTTGGTTCTTTCGGTAAAGAATGGGAAAAATAATTAAAACATAATAAAATAAACATTTTCTACGTGACTTTATCGAAAGAACCAATAATATGAATCCCTGCAGTCACCAAAGCTTTAAATCGAAATTTTGTACTGTTTGGCCGTGTCGGGTGGTGGAGGGTTACGACACATTTATAAATAACGCCATCAAACCCAAAAACCTTTATTGTGAATAATATTGGTCGCGAAAGCCTCCGTTTTAAACTGTCGCGGTAGTGTGCGCTCTCCAGCCCCTCCGATGTCGTCTTCAGTTGATTTTTGTTGCTGACGTTTCACGCCACGTGCCGGGAACTTCTTCAGTTCTGTTTATTCGACTCCTGAAGAAGCTGCCAGTACGTGCCGGCGAAACGTCGGACGCCGTGTCGAACAACATGGGTCACAGCACGAAACAAAACATCACAGGAGCCGATACGACAATTCGAGAGGGGGCTACTTGTGTTGGGGGAGCGGTGGCGCAGTGAGTTGGGGCGAAACGAGTTCGACATTGGGTCACGGCTAACATCAGTGGCGAGAGATAACTGAACCGGTTCTAGACCCCGCTTCACCAACGTGGACTTGTGAGCGTTGGTTACATTATTAAAATCTGCTGCGTTATTTTTACACTCGGTGCATTACTGGTATATGTTCGTTAATACTACTGTATTATTGTTCATAATACAGGTTTTTTTGGGTTAGATCGCATAAATATATTAGTAAGGTTTGTCACGTCAACAGAACGTGCCAATTCGTCACGAGTACAGCACACCGGTGTGTTGGAGAGCAAAGCCACAACATTTACAATCTGAGTATGACGTTTCGCCAGATATTACAACTAGCTTCAATAGGCGACAGAGAGATTTGTGGAGAAATTCTGTTTCGTTCCTTAAATAGAGGGGTCATCTTTTGAGGAACGCCAGTGAAGACGACAACAACTTAATCTGCTTCATTCGGAGTTTCTCCAATTTTCTGGTTTGAAGAAAAGTATCCTCCCCATAGAGGTTAGTCAGTTTAACACGTAGGAGGCTTTCACGACCAATATCATCCATAATACAGGTTTTTTTTGGGTTAGATCGCGTAAATATATAAATGTGTCGTTAAACCCGCCACCACCCGACACAGCCAACTAGTATGGGTTGTCACGTAAACAGAACGTGCCAATTCGTCACGAGTACAGCACACCGGTGTGTTGGAGCACAATGCCACAACATTTACAATCTGAGTACGACGTTTCGCCAGTAATTACAACTAGCTTCATCAGGGGACAGTATCGGGTGGTGGTGGGTTTAACGACACATATATTTACACGATCTAACCCAAGAAAACCTGTGCTATGGATGATATTGGTTGCGAAAGCCTGCTACGAGTATTATTATTATTGTGGTTATCAATACTATTAATTAAAACATATGTGCGTTGTTGCTCTGGAAACCGGGAGATCGATGCTCGGTCGCCGCGTTGCTAAAAACTCGTCGTGATTTCTCACTCAACAACGGAGTAGGGCTGCGTGAAAGCTGCCATCTTCAATTTTCATTAAAAAACAAATGACAGACACCCTTAGTCAATCGACTGCTGGAAGAAGGCCCCCTCACGCAGTGTCAGGCATTGGGCTTTGACCACACCGCAACCATTTGGTATAAGGGAAGGGCACAGGATCAGTTCCGTCACTCGCTCTGATGTCAGCCGTTACTGCGAGTCAAACTCAATTCGTGGGGTTCATCGCGCAGCGCGCTCAGAACGACGCCACCACTCGACCCCAATGTTGAAACTAATAATCATCTTCATCATCATCAACCATGATCTATTCACTGATGGATGAAGGCCACTAGCAGCCTCTGTCGTATTTCAAGGTCTTGCGATGGAACACTTCATCCAGGATCTGGACTAATCTTGTTGAAATTACACGGTGGAAAAATACCAAACGTTAAAATAGTTCACCCTAGGCGACGCCTGTGCTCAGCTTAAAATTTTTGCAGGTGAATTTCTGCCCACATGTGGAGGGTACAGGGGGACGGCCGCAGGCTCAGCCGCCCTGCTCTGTTATTTTTCATTATCATAATAAAGTCCAAACAAGTTGGAACAATATTTAACACCAGTGGCAATTAATCGATGGGGACGTCGGAGCCATTCACGCAGATCGTGGGGGGGGGGGGGAGGTGTGAGCGGCAGCAGAATACGCGACGGACAAAATCACCCCACTCATACAGTTTAGCGTTTAGACATTGTTTAAAGTTTAACAACGGCTGTCTAGTGCCAAAGTGTTTTTCTGTTTGCCCCCCCCCCCCCCCCATTTTAAACAAGGTTACACTACAGCACTGACCTAACCCCACCGGGAGCCTCATTGATCGTGGCAATGGGGCCCACACCTCATGCCTCTGAGCCAGCACAGCTCCCATTGGTCATGGAAACGAAGCATCAATAGGCCGCGTTTGGTGGCAGGCAGATAAGAGCTACTGGACCAGAGATGCAGTCACTACCGGAGCAGCTGATGCCATACTCTTGTCTCGCTGCCATTAGACTGAGGGGTTGGGGTTTAATAAAAATAATAATCTCGGTGTCTTTATTCTAGTGAGTCTGGGCAGGGGTACAACGACCTTTTCCAAAGGGAGGGTAGGAGGGGGGGCATTCAAGATACGAGTGTGGGCCCACCTCCTTTCTCCCGACTCACTTTTACTGAAATAGCTACGGATGTTTTTAACCCGTGTACAAGAATTTGTAGGCTATAACTATGTGTATTATTTTAATTGCACCTTGTAAAGGCTTTCGAGCAAGTTTCACATTGACAGCATTAATAACACAGATGTAAAGGTACAATACTCACCCTATTCATATTGGCATTGGCCCCACGTCGGGGGCCTCGGTGCCGACGCTGTGTTTCATGATGAAGGAAGAGGGAGAGAAGCGTTTTCCCGACCGATGTCAGCCACGCTGCCTTCCTGCTCGCCGACAGCAGCACGATTAACGCCGCGATGTTCTGACGATGGGTGCAAAGGACGCGTTCTGAGTCTGTGGACATGAGCTTTGTAGCTCATCGGATTCCTCCAATGTATATAAGTCATCTGCTAGTCTGAAAAGTTACAGTGATCTCCTGCTCATCAAATGATGAGCGTTGAACCATCGGTGGTCATTTCCCATTTGTAGCCCCGATCGAGTGGTGGAGA